TTATAAAACGGTTCATTTGTATTCTTCGAAGGAAAACTACTTCTGCTGGTTGGCTGGCCTTGTTCGTGCCTCCTGCAACTACGATTTGATCTAACTACGCTAAGAAATAGAACTTAAATAAAAATAAAAAAATAAAAACAAAAGTAGGTAATGGTACTGCAAAGTGATTAAGGCGTGATAGATATTTAACCGGGTTACTATTCAACTACCAACCTGTAACTTTTATTTTCAAGAATTTATGAAAAATTATACTTGAAAATTTTCTTAATATCAACGCACACACCTAATCAAATGTTCGAACGTTAACCCCTTTTTTTTCCTTGTGTATATGTATATGTAGTTATAAAACACGATCCTAACATCAGATATACGATTTCTTATTTTAACAGTTTTATTACCATTTCGATTTAACTAAGTCGAGAAATTTGATTATAATTTCAGAATTCTTACGAGTATAGCTCGATATACTTGGCTTTTAGATCAAAAATAAAGTACAAAGTATTATGGAAAGTACAAAAGAACAAAGCCAAAGCTAAAGGAAACGAAAGAAAGAAAGAAAGAAAGAGAGGGAGAGTCAATTTCACAGTCAAAGGGATTTTCCAAGCCGTTGTTCGATTTTATCGATATAATTATTTCATAGATAACAGAGAGGAGAAGTCGATACGAGATATGTTATTACAGATGCTACTTTCTGATACTTGAGAGAAAAAAAAATATATATATATATATATATATATATATGTGAAGAATTGACGTTCAATTTTCAAAAAACAAATACTAGTTTCGAACACGTCCGTTCTTTCTTCTTCATCCATAATCCATTAATATGCTTTTATTCAACATTTACGAGTTCTTATTGAAAGTATTTTCTTTTACAATCGAAACAGTGAAAGTAACAGAAAGAAGTATTGTTTGTCAATTTATCGATTTATAGAAGTATAAATATTAATTATTATAAGATCGAATACGAAAGAATGATTATGCTTAATTTTTTTTTTTTTCATTTCAATCGACAGAGATAAATTGTTTTCTTATTTTTTTCATTCGAGATCGAAATTGGATATATATATATATTTCTTTTTTTTTTTTAAACTGTCATTGCACCATGTCGCATGTTATTTGTCATCATTGAAAGTTTATAACTGTAGTAGTTTTGTGCTATATTAGAAGGACCCAGGGGTGTTGTAAAAAAAAGCTTTACGTTAGACACGTGATACCTGTTTTCGTCATAACTCTAACACGTAATACGTGCTCCTGTATTTTACTAGTTTTATGGATGCTAATAAGTAAGGAAAGGAAAGTTCGAACTTTTGATTTGAAAGTAATCAAGGATTTCGATCAATGGTTTTAGCAGGTAACATCATATAAAAAAGAATATATGTAATACAAGTTAAAAGATCATTCACTAATCGTTCTTTTTATATAGAAACCTTTGAAAAATTCACACGTACTTTAAAGATTTTTCAACGAGCAATTATAAAATCAGGACTAAACACGTCACCTCTTAACGATGAAATATATTTTATAAAAAAATACAAAAATACAAAATTGGAATGATCGATATCATTGAAGCATAAGTAAGCTCAGAATGAGACGGCATTTCAAATACGAAGAAACGTCGATCTTAAAGGAAATGAAGCGAGGTAAATGGGATAGGGCGGTAAAGCTGGAAGACGTTAGTGCCACACGAAGAAGGATTTAAATCATCCCTGCCACTCTCTCGACTTTTTTTTTCTTTCAAACCGAGTTCCTAGCGCGATTATTCCCCTTTAAAAATCGATCTTCATCGGCTTCTTTTTTTCTTTCGTTCATTTAGATTGAAATTTCGATAGATCATCGTAGAAAAACACACCCGTTTCTTACCAATTTACTCCTATATTTTCAAGATACGAAAAATCTTATCAAATGTTTATTAATCACTTGAATGATATTAAAAATATATATATATATATACTAGGGGTGCCCCAGCCACGCGTTGCTGTGGTTTTTTTGACGTCAAAACTTCTATTTTATTGTACGCGTTTTTTTTCCAACTTAGCACATAGCATAATTTTTATTGCGATTTTTTTTTTACTATTAATATATACTCCCGTATTTATATGAGTAACTTCTTTAAACACTAATTAGATCTTAATGTAATATTTTAATTAGTACACAATTTTTTGTAACACGCTAATAACACGAAGGAAACAATAAGAGAAATATATCATTAATATCAAAAAGTATAATATCAATATAAAATATCGATTAACTTCAACCTATAAATTTTTCGAATAGCAATTTATAAATAAACAATTAATTAAATAAACAACTTAAATTGGACTGAATTGTAAATTTAAACCATTCTCAAATCCACCTTAGAAGACACAAAAAATTTTATTAAAATCGGTCCAGCCGTTTAGGAGGAGATCAATTACATATATGTGCACAAAAGAGATATATATATATAAAGATAAATAATGTCTCAAAAAGTTTTTTTTTTAAACGAATGTGAGCAAAAAAAAAGAAATACGATAAATAAAAAATATTTTCATTGGAAAAATGTTAGCAACTCTCAAGTCTCCCATTTCTTTCCCCTTTCTTTTTCTCGATCAAAATTGAAAAAAACTTCGATCTACTGACGACTCTATTTCGAACTTTTTGAAATCTAATTCTTATCGTACAAATATATCCTCCTCCTCTTGCTTTCTATAAAAATTTACTTTACAAAAAATAAATCGATTTGTACGAGAACGTAAAGAGTTCGTGAGTTTTAATAACGCTCTATGAATACTACGTAGATTTTATTGATTTTTAAATGGCAAAGAATCTCTCTCTTTGTCTTTCTCTCTCTCTCTCTAAAAATGTACTCGGTCAATCTTTCAAACGTGATTCGTTTTTCGAGCTGTTCTCGACCCTTCTGTTAAATGTTAATTAATAATGAGATAGATATTATAATGATCCTGTATAAAATAAAAGATTGAAAGAAATAAAAAAAAAAAGTTAAATGGCAAATCGAATATTCATAAAGTCAAACCTTTTGACGAGAATAATAAAAACATTTGATAGTTTTACAAAAAGTCTTCATTTTGTTCATTATCTTTTGAGCCATAAAATCGATCGATCGTTCACCCCCCCCCTTCCCCCTCCCTCCTACCCCTCGATCAATTCTCTTTCTTTCGTTAGATCTTAAAAAGAAGAAGATAGAGAGAGAGTTACTTAAGAAAAGACGAATTAACTTGCTTCAATTGAATAGAATATGACTGAGGAAGCTTATCGTACCGTTCAGCGATACCAAAGGCCCACCCACCCCATTCCCCCTTGTTCGTTGAAGTCCTTTCGATCATCATCCCCATAATCCGAGTCCTTGGTAATCCCCGGTCAGCAGTGCTCTCTCGTTTACCCTAGTCTCATCGATGCTACCCTTCCTTCCTTCCCTTTTCATCGTCATAAACAGACTTTCTAGCTTCCACATATACATCAAATTGTATGTACAGAAAATGAACAAAAATTGAGGGAATGTAACCTTAAGCTCTAATGTGAATTATTCGAAGTTACTCTGAATACTAACATAACTTATCTGATGTAAGTAGCTGAACAAAAAGTGTCTCTATGGTTCAGCAGAGAAGTGTCATTTGGTCAAATTTTGTGTGAAACAAGAAAGAAAGAAAATAAAATAAAAGAAAAGTAAGAAAAACTGTAAACCTACTCTTAACGCTCTTTTATCCTGATTGGCGCGAGTCCCACGATAATATCTCTCACTGATCTTTTCTCTAATGGAACCACGAAAATACACTTGGTTTTATCCTACCCCCCTCTTCACCACCCACCACCACCGCCACCACCACACCAACCAATACTACTTACTCGAACGATCTCCTGCAGTGAGAAATATCTGCAACATTCTGGGTTTCAAGGATATTCCAAAATATCAATCTTTGAAGGATATTTAAAACCCTTGCACTATGAAATCATCGCTGGCATGACAACGCTATTATTTTACTCTTCAACTATTTTTTCTAAGTAATTCATTTTTCACGCGAACAATTTATTTCCTCTAAACGAATGACAATTAACTATCGCAAAATAACTATCATAGTATTGGCTTACGTAAGTCAATAAGTAATAACGGAATTTGCAGTATTTTATATCCAAATAATCAATACTGCTTTTTGTGGGCGAGTTCAATAAAAAATGCTAAAAATTTGCTGAAGAATTCCAATATTATTATTATTATTATTATTTATATTTAAATTGCATATAACTTTTTTTTCTTTTTCCTTTATATTATTATTTTTCTCTCAATATTTCTTTACAAAAAAATATTCAATGGTTTCAAGGATGACGATAGACTTGAAAGGATATTTAAAAAGGAACCCTATCTATTGACGAATCGATAAGACAATATATTTCGAATTTTATAAATAAATTGTAAATGAATTGCAAGTCTCGTAGCGTTACTGGGTCAAAGTCATCGATGAAGCAGCTTATATTATAGTAACCTATCTACAGGGTATATATGAATATACCATATGTGTGTGTGTATATGGCAAACGATATCGGAAGAAACGTGTATACGTGGGAGGGTGGAAGGAAGGGAGGGAGTAAGAGAAGAAGGAAACGACTTTAAAACAAACACTCTATTAAAAACTAATTATCATAGAAACTTATTCGTTCAAAAGGCTTTCAATTTTTAATTACATTAAAATAGAACGAATCAAATGCGAAAAAACATTTGCTCATTTTTGAATACCAAAAGAAGAACGAAATACGCTCCTATAGATATGTTGTAAAATTATTTTTAAAAGATATGAAAATAATTTTTCAATGTCTTATATATATATGTCAATAATATTATTTTCATTAACGAGGAGTCATCTTCGTTGATTCGTTCTAATTAACACGAATCGTAATTTAACCTTAACAAAAGGAGAGATCGCGAGTACAAAAAAAAACAATGAGCGATATGAAAAAAAAAAGAAAAAGAAAAAGAAAAGAAATGAACTAATGAACAAACTCACCGAAATTACTCGTAATCGTTGAATCGAAGGCCCAAAAAGTTGTTGTCACAGATGACGACGATGTTAAAAAGAATCGATTGACAAATATTTCGAAATTTCTAACGAACGGATTTTCTCGTTTTACGATTAGTGTGTGCAATAGATGTGTTTATGTATACGTGTATAATATTGTGAATCTTTGATTGTATTCGTGCTTTAAAGAATTAATTAGAGATGCACGATTAAACGAGAAGATAATACCGTACGATTTAATTGTTCCGCACCGAATAAATTTCGGACTAAGAAGCGTAAGAGATATTTTCTTGTTTTTTTTTTCTTGTCTCTTTTTAGGAATGGACGCAAGCGCATTTTCCTATCTTGGATTATCTTAATTAACACGTAGATCTACTTCTGTGTGAGCGTATTTTCCCCTCGTTATAACGATTATATTCTAAAGAAATATATACATATATATTGTATATATGTCTGTAATAAGAACGAACGAACAAAAAAAGAAGAAGAAAAAACAATACGAGATAAACGTTAAATTCAATTTTGAATATTATCTTTGTATTCGTGAAATCTTGATGCAAATTTTAATATAATTTCATATATATACATAGATTACGAACACAATACATCTATATGTATAGTTATATTATATTATATGTATATATAATATAATATATATATATATATATATAATATACATTTTCTCATAGAAATACGTGAGTCAAATCTCAAGTACTTTGTAAATTACTTCTTGAAAAAAAAAACAATAAAAAAGAAAATTGCAATAAGAACCGAATAAAAATCGATCGAATTCCTAATTTGTTCGCGTTTTCTAATCTATTTTTCTCCTCTTCCTCTTCTTCTTCTTCCTCCTCCTCCTCCGCCACCTCCCCCTTCTCCTTCGTTGCTTCTTCTTTTTCTTCTTCCTCGTTTTTTTTTTCTTTTCACCCTTTTTCTTCCTCCTTACACTTGTCCGATGTAAAGTCGGATCCTCTCCCTGAACAACACAGAGAAGCACGAAACACCGTTAAATCCGACACGAAAAATCCTTTTCTTCCTTTCGTGCTCTTCAACTTTGTTTAAAAATTTGAAAAATATGCTTCATATGTATAAACAAAAAAAAACCAATTGTATGCGTAGGTATGTGTAATTAAAAGTTATAAGAAAAATCGAATGAAAGTTTCTTTACTAAAGAAAAATACGATTGACTTGATTACTTTGAACGATAAAAAGAAAGAAAAAAAATAAGAAAAGGTTCTTTTGATCGATATTAATATATAAATATATTATAATATTTATATACGTGTATAATAATAATAATAATAATAATAATAATATACTATGTGTGCATGTGATTTAACTAGATAGGAAAAGAAAAGCGTATGCAAGTAAAGAACGAGGAATATATGTGAAGGGTGAACTTAAGGTTAGAATCGTGATGTGCCATTCAGCCATTTTGCTGTAATTAATGAAAGAACCGACGGAAATGAGAGTCTCGTTTGAATAAAAAAGAAAAGAAAAAAAACGTCGTGAGAGTCGTTTATTACAAGGATGAACAAAAAAAAAAAGAATTAAAAATTGAGAATATTTTTTTCATCGTATACTTGGGATCATTCGATGCACGTTCATGCCATGACTATAAAAATAATCCCTAACCGCGCTTTACGAGCGGTAAACTGACAGACCCCCCTTCTTTCCTACTTGTAAAGAGGACGTCCGGAGTTTTAACTTTCCGCGAAAATATCAAGCAACTTCCATTTTCCATTAACTGAATCCAATTGATTGTTCTTTTTCTTTATCTTTTTTTTCTTTTTTTTTTTTTTTGATCTTTTGTCGATGATCGAATCGTTATAGAAAATTATTCGTATAACCAAACAACATTCAACGAGAAATCAGTAAAGAAATATTAGCAAATTTTGTTTACGACAACTTGCATCGCTTCCTTTAAAATCTCTCTCTCTCTCTCTCTCTCTCTCTCTCTTTCTCTCTCTTGTTTACTTTCCGTATAAACTATTCCACGTGTTTCAATCTATAACCATATCTAAACTATCAACGCTTCGCGAAAATCATATTACGCGCAATTTCGCGTTAACAATTATTGCAATTTCATTATATTCAATGATCCGGAAAGAGTAAACACGATGACGCTCTAACGTAACAACGAAAATACGGGAAAACCGTTTTTCGTTAACAGGATTATTTTGATCGAAATAAGTTGATCGTAACATCGCGTAGAAAGTTTACAATCTTTCCAATTCGTTCAACAACAAGAATACAATTTTTTGTAAACACTTGGAAAGATCTTAGTCTTATCAATAATTCGCATAAACACGTGTTTTCTTCGTTAAATATTCATCTAATACACGTTTTATTACGGCACAAGTTAACAGGATGATAGAAAAAAAAAAACAGAAGAAGAAAAAAAGTGCAAAACAAAAAAGAAGGGATTGATATAAAAATTGATTGGAAAAGCTAAAAAGAAAAAGAAAAAGAAAAAAAAGAGAGCAAGGAAAAAAAAATCTATAAAATATGCAGCAAACCGATCGCGAAACACGTAAACGAGAACGAGCCGAAAACGCGAATTGACCCACCCCAGGATATTTTCTTCCTCGAGGGAGCCGGAATGTATTTCGCGGTTTGAGAGGACCGACTGCAACCGCCGCGTGACTCCAAAGCTTCGTGTATGCGTCTGATTTGCGCTTGCGTCCCTCTTTCCACTTTCCATTCCCATCTGTGTAAACGCGCCCGCGCGCACCTCCACGCGTCCGCGTCAATCCCTTTGTCCTCTCTTCTAAGCTTCCTTCCTTTCTACCTTCTTACCTATCTACCTACCTTACCCTTCCTTCCTTCCTTCCTTCCTTCCTTCCTTTCCTATCTTTCTTATTCTTATATTGATAGATACCTACCTATTCGAAAAGGACTTTAAAAAGGATTTATTTCAACGTCGTTTCGATAAACGAACCTCAGCTAAGATTTTATCAAAACTTATCGAGCAAGTATTATTTTCTATTTCAACGAGTAAGCATAGAAAGCTCTCTCTCTCTTTTTCTTTTCACGCTAGACTAAACTTAAGAAGTATATATATATATATTTTTTTTCATTATTTTACATTTATTTTTACAAGATACGATTTATGTTCAATATACTGCATCATTCAGTGATTCAATAATATTTAACCTTTGTATGGGTCGTCCAACGCACAATGACATTTACATCTATGATAAGCACGAAAGGATTTCTCAAGATAGCGAGAAAAGTAAACTAATTGTAAGTTACATGTTGAAGGAACACTCGCTATATGTCATTTATGGTTGCAGAAGTACGTGGTTAGAATTTAAAGTATATTGCCTAAGGGAAGCATCTTCATTCCTGTCAATTGCATACACCTTCAGGACGTTGAAGTTCGTTTATCACGCGTTTGTAGTTTATATTTTTTCCCCGTACCGGTCGCTAAGTTCATACATATATAAAAAAAAAATATAAAAAAAAAGAGAAAATCAAGAAACATCATCATTCATTTGTTTCTATCGACGCAACCAAATCGTCTCATTCATTCATTTATCATTTTTATCTTTCGGCAGAACCATCAAAATTCTTCTGCACCGTCAAATTTTCTGCATCGAAGCATCAAAATAATATTTATCGTAATAAGAAAAAAAGAAAACTTTTCTCAAGATTTTCTATATAGCACAAATAACATAATACGTTCGTTCATCTAAAAGTAAATATCGTCAATATGTGTGACCATTGCGCGTGAGTATAATACGAATTTGTAAAAATCCGTTGAATGTTCACGTACGAACAGATCTATTTCAACGTTATCACGTATTTCTCTTATATCGTATAGAAAAGTAACCAGTCAGAAAGGATATGCCGGTCAAGTGACGTGCAAATGTGAACAGTAAGTTTTTATTCATATTTTTCTCGTAAGATTAAATTATTTCAATTCTAAAAATGATAAAATAATTGATTACACGAAAAAGTCCAAAAAATATATCATTTAAAAATCAAACTAGAACGACATTTGTTATTTCGTAGTGCCGAGAAGAAGGAGGAGACTAAAAAGGAAGAATCTGGTGGTTGCTGCAGCCGAAAGTACGAAATCCATCAATTTCCTCTTACGGATTCGAGATCCGATTTATGTTAGGGAGATAAATTGAGAAAGAAAAAAAAAAAAGAAAGAGAAAAAGTTTTTTCGTCGTAGTAAATTCAACGAACTATTACCATTAGCAACATCCTTCTTTTCTCGACTATTTAATTAGTTTCTTTTGTTTTTATTTGTGTTGTGATTTTCTTTATCCCCCCCCCCCAATATGGCCGCCGCCGCTACTGCCGTCACAGCCCTTGATATTTTCAACATATCGATTTGAAATTACGCTTTGATTTTATTTTGTGTTTCTTTCATTTGATTTCTTTTTTTTTTCTTTTTTTTTTTATTGCTATCTGACAATTGAACGAGAAAATGCGATCAGTTAGATAAATCGATCGAATGTATGCGCAGAGAACGAAAGACGGAAAGTGGATGCTGCGGTGCCAAATGTTGCGCCGGTACGAAGGAACGTAGTGGTGGTTGCTGCTGACATTCCTTGCTCGGAGGGACCAGAAATTCCAATTTAATTCTTTCACTTTTCGAGATCGACCGTGTTCTCTCAAAGAACTGACACCCACGAGAGAAGTATCTAAAATATAATGGTAATGAGTGGTGTGCGGTCATATGGGTTTTTTTCTTGTTTTTTATTTTTTTGGTTTTATCTTACCTTTTATTTTTCCTCCCCCCATCCGATTAAAATTAGTTATCAATATATATGTATATAGTGTTTGCAAAAAGCATTTCGTTTCACATATTTTTGTATCGTTGATTTATTATTTTCTTTAGAGCAAGAGAAGCTGCCGGTGGTTGCTGTATATCGGGCTGTTGCAAGGAGAAAAACGATAAGCCTAATAAAACTCGGAAAGAAGGTGCTAGTTGCTGCGGCAATAATAATTAATCACGTTGAAATACCATACCAATCTTAAATAAAATTACGATAATTCTGTAATGTTGATTACAAAATAAATACGAACGATGCTTTGATGAAATTGGATCAATTCCATTATTGTAATTAATAGAATGATAGAAGAGAGTGTTTGATTATTTTATTTATGAACGTTAATAAAACCAATTTAATATTATATTACAAAATTTATCAATTAGCATTTAAAAAATCAGATCTTTCATATTTTTTTTTGAGGTTTAATTTTATTTCATCTTTCTTTCGAGATATCGAATCGAAATATAATAAGAAAACAAACATAACCTTTTAACATCCCTTAACAAACAAATTGTTCTTTCGATCTAAATCAAATTGACAAATTTTTCCTTTCGGCATAATGTGTAATCATTGCAACTAAGATTAGAAAGCAATACAATTTCTATTTCTACGTTTATTTAAAAAATTTTTAAATTGTACGATGGAACCGACGCAAGAATTATCTTCTCAAAGAATCAATGATGCGAGGTAAAAAGAAAATAAAAATATTTAGGTTACTGATAAAAGTAAAAAAAAAAAAAGAAAAAAAAACATCGATCGTAATCGAAGTAAAAAGAAATGATTTTAATCTTGATTAAATTAAAATAATTTTAATTTAATCTAAAGATATAAATGTAGATATAGAAAAAAAGAAATATCTTATTGTTAGAGATTGCATAGTCATAGTAATCTTTTACGTATCCTAAGAAAATCGGTTTTTGTAGAAAGATCAGCAGATGTGATAGCCCTTCTTCTCCAAAGGGATGCTGTTCTTGGAAGCAAAGTTGCTGCGGTGGCGGTTGTTGCGAACCAATGCCGAACTGCTGTTCAACTATAGAACAGGATAACGTTAACCGTTACCAAAAAGCACCATCTGCTTTTACCTACGGTTATACTCCTCTGGAAATGGCAATGAATATGCTTCATGAAACGATTGAGAGTAAGCCCTTAAGATTACAACAAATTACCGGTAACATTTTATTCCAAATTACAAATGATTTTTAAAAGAACAACTCTTTGTATATAAAAATAATCTTTAAATAGCCAAGAAGAAAGTCTTATGTTCAAACATATCGAAAGTAGAGACGTGCTATGGTGGTAAATGCGGTGAAACTCTGAATAAGGATTCGAGTATAGAGAACATTAGAGAAGAACACGAAGAAAAAGAAAACGATTTGGCTGAATCGACAATACGATCATCGGAACGATAAAAATAAATACAAAAATGTTATAATATTTTATATAAAAATATGAAAAACTATACAAAAAAAAAAATAAGCATGGATTTGGTATATGTTCAAAAAGACAAAAGTTTAAGAAAATCTACTCGACTAAATCGTTTAAACATAGCATGGGAAAACTATTATTTTCCGAATCCATGTCGAATAATAGAATCTTTAGCCACGTTAGCCTTCTCTTCCAAGTAACTTAATCCTAAATAAAAGATACAAACGCTGAACCTTAATGTTCCACTGTTCTCTCTACTCTGAAATCAGAGTTGGAAGTCTGAAACGTTCGGAGTAATCCCTTTTCTCTTCTATCTATTATTAACTAGGATCTTGGAAAGAAAAGGGCAAAGTTGAGCTTCTTCTTTTTCTTCTCTCCCTCGCCCCCCCCCCTTCCCCCTCTTCGCCCCTCCCGTTCTCATAGTATTCAGTTCGGAATACTTTTCGATACGAATTCAACTCACATTATAGTTACGATGAGAATCAACGCCTGTATTTTACGATGTCACAGGTGACATCGAAAAATATCCGATAAATATTTCATCTATCCAAAAAATGAACAAATCAATCTTGACACACACACACACACACACACACACACACACACATACACACACATATATATATATATATGTGGGATTCCCCTTCTCCTGTTAGTCTTCCTAAAGGCGATCTCTTAGCGTCTGTTTATTACCCACTGTAGATAATCCTAATTTATTTGCTGCATTCTTTAACTCTATCAACTTCATTGAATCAATCTGTTCACTTGTGTAATTAATTATTTCTTCTTCTTCTTCTGCTTCTTCTTCTTCAGCTACTTTATTTTTGCCTTTGCCTTTCTGTTCCGGCTTTCGTCTTCTTCGTGATGTGCCTTCGACGATCGTTTCGTCCAACTCTTCACATCCGCTCTCTTCTTCTCTCTCCTTTGTTTCATGTGTTACCTTAACTTGAGCCATCGTCTTAGCCTCTTTACTTACTTTTAACAGTTACTACTGTCTTACTATCTTACTGTTACACAAACACTACCGATTACTATGCAACTTTTAATCTAGCATTCACGCGTGGTCCGTCAAGTCAGCTTTACACGACTTGATATTGCAATCGTGAGACCTATTTCCTTTCTATAATCCCCATCGCATCCTTTAGGAAGACTAACAGGAGAAGGGGAATCCCATATATATATATATATATATATATATATATTATACATTTGCATGTATATAGAGATATTCACGAAAAAATACAGTTAGTAATAAATTGTTACCTAAATAACATTTAGTACCTGTTATTCTATTTCATGATCGCGAAAGACAACGATTGCTTTGTTTCCTATTCGCATGATTGCTTCGTATCTGTTTTCATGAAAATTAATGGAATCGGTAGGATTACAAAAGGCTAAAGCAATCACTAACGACAGCTATATTCACCCGGAAATTGGAGAATCACTCTGTGCGATACGAAACGGAACAAGACCAACAACATTGCCAATAGTTTCTATACATTTCATTTATATATCTTCATATGCGTACGTAAAATGTAGAAAAATTTAGAATTCAATGAATATTAATAATATTCATTAACGTTTTTATGTAGAAAGTATTTAAACAAAAATTCCTATTACGAGAAAGAGATTAGCATGGAGATTCTTTTTTTTCTTTTATCGTGATATTTTATTATAGTTTTTTTCTTTTTTTCTATTTTTCTTTTATGTTTCATCTCATGTTTACAATCGTTAACAGTAGTAGCGATAAAGAAGCGTAGGAAATCAGAAAAGACATAGCTTTGGTCGCGTGCCGATGAAAATCGCAATTAGTTTCGAGTAGGTTGGGTTGAATTGGGTTTGGTATGTCGAATCGTTCGGATGTTTCGTTGAATGCAAATCGATCAGTAATTGAATCGCGCTCTCCAACGTACGATTCGCGATAGAGATTTATGCGAAACGGTACTTTATCGAATATTCAAATATTCGTGAGGCAAAGCTTTTTTATTCGTCAAGCGACTAGTGCAAAAAATAGAGCGCCACAACAGCTTGTCGAGATTGTAAAGTCGGCTTTTCGATCAATTATCGATTAACCGAAATATTTAACGAATAATAACAAGTCTAATATATTCGAGCTAGATTTTAGTAAATATATAACATAGAATACACGCATACACACAAACAGTTTTATTCAAGATTCAATGAGTTTTCTAAGAACGAAGTCATTTTTTATTGAAACAAAAATTGATCAAGCTTTCAACGAAATAAATATATAAAAGTTGTTAATATTAATTAAATATTAAATAAAATGATTGTATAATACGAACGAATATTTTTATTTGACTTAATGTTTTCGTTATTAACAAAACATCATCGACAGATCGTCCATGCAAAAGTCACATATGAACAACTGACCCACATACGAAAGGATTAAAACATTACAAATAAACTAGGAAATATACATATCTTCATTTCTATATTTCAATGAAAAGAAATTTGAAAGTTTTTTTTTTTACTCTACCCAAAAATATTGCTTATCAGAGAATAATATAAATAAATTTGTTCTTGTTACAAAGTACACGAATCGTTTTACATAAGAAAACCCAATAAATCGTATTCGTTGCAGCGCTTGAAAATGTAATTTATTCGCTACTCGTTTATAGGTCGATTCGATATCATAGAGAAGAAGATATATAACAGATAAAACGAAATATGAAACGTGATGCTTAGCCAGTTGTTGGAATATTAGTATATATGTATATGTGTAGTATTGTACTTATACTTATGCATAGTCGTAGCTGATTTCTTGAAAAGTATCTACATTTTTATATTGTTCCAGAAATAGAAAATAATAAAAGCTAAAAAAATCAAATAAAAAAGGAAAATTCAGCCGTATAAAGTATCGTTGTATTTTTATAAAAAAAAACAAATGTATAAATTTTTTTTATCACTTCATTTTTCGACACAAATCTCAAAATAATTTAATATTATAAAAAGAAACATTTTTATAGAATACTATAATAATAAAATATTAATTTAGCAAGATACAATAAGCTTCACCATCAATCTCTGTCCGGACAACAAAATTCCAGTCGAACGTGGAATTTGTGAAATCCAAAATTCCTATGTCATCCTAAACAATTATATCACATATACATATATCTATGTAAACATACGTATCGATTTTTATAACAATTATTTTTCTTTTCTACAAAATATCATGAGTTAATCAAATAAAATGTTTAATTTTGTTATATACCCGAGAAAAGTATTACTTAATTTATTTATAAATTAAATGAATTTAACCGATGAGACAAGAAAACCTATCTTAAACTGATAAAACATACAATACAATATACAATTTTCATGAGTAACTCCTGAAAAAGAATTACTCATATGCTCGTCAATAATTTATTTAAATAATTACAACCAGTAACTCGTGCCAATTTGGATCTTTCATCCTCGACATAATTGAGCACCGGAGGGAGGGACTTTAAATTTTAACTCACGGCTTCAGAATTTCTACGATGGCTCCAAAACACTCCTACTTCGCAGCAAGTATTGCAGTCTGACCTGACGATGGAAAACGATACTCGATTTGCCATTGAAGAAGATCCATCAAAGATCCATCGAAGAATTCATCCAACATCTTTGAAAGGAAGAGAATCCATGGTTATATCTGTAAAATAAAATAGAACAAAACGATAAATTATCTGGAATATTATTTAAAATCATATGAAATAAAATCGAATAAAATGTAAATACAAATGAATACTTACAATGCATTCCAATGAGATGCAGCTCTATTGCACCATGATGATGCGTAAATCTAAAAACGCGGTATAAACGAAAATAAGAAACTATAGATGAGTTTCTTATCGCGAAACCGAAATTTTAGTATACGACGAACAACAATTCGCGTTTGATTTCAACTTACTACTCGCCCGATCACTGATTCTACAACTAATTCAAAGACTGCATTGCACGCAGTTTGATGATATCACCATAAACACTGCACATATTGCTTCGCGCACAATTGCAATCTGAAACAGAATAAAAAAACAGTACTATTAATATCATTTCTATTACATAAAAGCATTAAAATTTTTGAGGAATTATTTAATACAAAAATATACTCACTTTGATGAATGCACGATGAATGCACGATGGGTCTCCCTACCCTTAGGATGACGATGAGCACACGTTTAAACCGAATAAAAGAAACTTGCGAGTTTCTTAACCGAGCAAACGAAACTTTAACATGCGACGATCAACGCTGAATCTACTTGTCGTCTTTTTTATAGTTTATTTTAACACGATGCAACACACGAGAACCTCATTGCCTAAGCGCTCGATTGCAATGATTTTCTGAAACATAACAAGAAAAAGAACAATTAGTATCATTGTCGTAGTAAAAATCCATTGATATTATCATAGAAATGTTTGATAGTAAAATATACTTACTTTTAGTCTTCGTTGATGACTGCAGGATGGGTATCCTACCCTTAGGATACCATGTATAAAATAAAATTAAATAAAAAGTCTGCAAAGCTGAAACATACTAAAGATTATATTACAATATTTCCTGTAAATCATTTCTGAAGGCAAGGCACACATAATTTTATCAAAAATATTCAATGATAAATATAGAAAGAAATAATTTAATGATCTATGAGAATTGACATAATTAAAAGTTCAAGTTATTAAATATTTGTGAAATTTATCAAAGTATGCAACTATTTACTTGCTAAATTACACATACCAGGTATGTAATGTTAATAAAAGTATTCATTAAAAATCTTGAAAGTTGTCTACATAAAACAGTAATTATATCAGCAAACTCAATAAAGAGTAACATAAAAAATAAACCGTTTGCCACCATTCTATGCAATGAAAAATTTTTTAAACTATTAAAATCAAAACGATAACGTTAGAAATAAAATTTTTAAATAATTTAATACGCCTCATTTTCGTTCATGTTATCTCGTTGAAAGATAGAAGACGAATACGATGTACGTTACTACGTAACCTTGGTAGAGGAAACCTTGGGAGTGTCGAATGCTCGGCTATTATACCTATGTTATCGGCTGTTTACGTTTTGTCGTCGACTCGAGAAATACCTGCAAATGTACATACACATTTATAATAGCCTGTATGTCGAGTGTATTGTTTTCTTATTCTTCTTCTTTACTCTCTCTCTCTCTCTCTCTCTCTCTCTCTCTCTCTCTCTCCCTCTCACTCATCATATGGAGTTTAACTAACGTGATTAGAAAGAAAATCGAATTACATACGTGTGAAGCCAAATTTTATTTTCTATTCAGTAGATTTTATTTTTTATTAATAAAATTTATTAATTTATTATTCATTATTTTAATTATTTATTTTATAGTAATGGGAACATTTTTTGTTTACGAAACCAAGTTAGTAAAGACAATTGCAATAGTGCAATATCACACTGTATTAGTGCAACAAAATAATTATTATTCCTTATCCCTTATCACTTTTCCCTTCCTTACCGAAGAGATAAAAAATGCTAAAATCAGAACGTTTTAACCCTTTATTTTTTTAATTAGGCAGGTACATAAATACATATGGGGACGATACATACATCATTTATTCCGTACTTTTAGACAACATTAGACACTTGCATCGATTAATTAACATTATATACAATTGAGAAATTATAGAAACTGATGACAGGATTAGTTATAATTACCAGCGATAAGCGAAATGATTTATATCATCTAATGAAAAATAGAAATATGTTTAAGCCGCATAATCCTAACGTGGGTCCACCGGACGGCATAGTGTTGTCTAAAAGCTAAAAAATTATTGTTTTAAAGTAACCGGAAGAAAGGTAGAAACCGGAAGTAAGAAAGAAGAGATGCATCACCATGGTGTGTCATTGTATTTCATCCCAATGGAATGCATTGTAAGTATTCATTTTTGTAAATATTTGATATGTTTTTATATTATATTGTAGATCACTATAAAAGGTTTGAAAGGAGTATCCTAAACGTGTCTGACATTGTGTAAAATTAATAATCACAATTAGACTAAAGAAACAAAATTTAAAATCTGTAAATAAAAAAAAATAGTTTTTATGACACGTTTTAAAAATTTTCATACTTATTGGCCAAAATACTTACAGATGGTTGCAATTTGACATAACATCTGGCAACTTGAAATGCCTTGTCACAGAAATCATCTCCAGCTGAAAAAATAATTTCTCGTCAGTCTTGAAACTTGAAATATTTTCATTGATCTTATTAATTGATCGAATTAATTGTCAATACAAATTTAGAAACAAAAAGAGAAATATACTCACGAAGGGACTTGCATCGTCGAAATATCTCCCACGAGGATTGCTGTATAAATCTTGGTAATTGTTGAATCACTTTATTCACGTCCATCCAATGATCATTGTTATCGAGGATACCATTTTTCATCATAAAACATCTTAGATAACATTTCAATCGTGGATCATCATCTTGATCAAAATTACCGGCTTTTAATTTTTTCAATGACGCTAAGAAAGATCAACATGAAATTTTATTCATTTATCTTTTTTTTTTTATTCGCAATAAATATCTTGAATATTATTGAATAAATCACAGTATAGGAAGATGATAACAAAGAATTTTTTCCAAAATGATTTCCAAGCTAACAACAAGTTATCCCCTTTAAAGGGTAATCGATCAATCTGGCGTAGCATTAATCATAATACAATCTATGTTTTAAGTACCCTTACCCCATGAAACCATTGATTGTTTGCGGCATTCTCTCTTGATGTCCGCTTTCGTTCGAATCTATAAAATATATTACGATTGGTGACTTATTAATAAGTCACTTTTCTATGTGATACATGCAAAGTATCATACATGACATGGTTATATACAAATTTCACCACGAGAAGCTACGATAGCAAGGAAACTAATATTTCGAACACGTGTCACCTAGATCTGTCAATGTATATAGCATGTATACATGGATGCATAAACGTACAACGTGAGAGTGAGAGAGAGAGAGAGAGTAAATGAGAGAAAAGAGAGTAAAATCTCATTTACAGGAATTTTTATTTCAGGAGGACAGAATACGGCGAACGAACAATTTCATGGTTCTCGAGGACAATAGGAACTCTTGTGAACTCTCGAAAACGAGAGCTCTATGCTAGGTATTGTGCGTGTACGCGATGCAATATAATGGCCGTAACATTCGTTGGGCTTAACGAATTTCGAGAAAGAGAACCTACCAACCAAATTAAATCACATCTACATATATATATATATACGGTAAATAAGTAAGTAACTCTTTGCCATTTAAACATTATGGTAATTTTTTCTTAACTGACTATACGGAACATTAATTCGTGCTTATTTAACTGATGATACTTTACTTTTCGTGAAAATATATTTAAATTAATAAATTATATAATTTACTCTTTATCGTCAGTATGTTACTTTAAAGATCAAAGTTTCGCAATAGATTGTTAACAAAATTTGATGAAGCATAAGATTATCGATGAAAAACGTACCAAAAGAGCCAAAAGAATCGTGCAAACGACGATCAATCGAACATTTATCTTCATGATGCTTGAACCAAACAGCCGAAATTTTCTTCGAATAATCCTTCGAATTTATCCCAAAATTATCTCTCTTATCCCCCACAAACCTTATTTCCTTTTTTTTTTCTTTTTGTTATTTTCTTAACTCGTTTTACCAGCCACTAATATTTTACTACGAACTTGTACGATTCAATTCGATCGAATAGTTTGAAATTTATCGGCATGCTTTAATTGCACCATTCTTATGTATATAGGCTATAAAAAAATACACATAAAAAGTTTACAAAACTTTAGCATACATGATATCGCATGGAATAGGTATTGTATATGCATAATATACTCGTAAACGTTAATCGATTGACCGCAAAATATGTTAGATCGATCGGTTGAAGAGATTCTTTTCATCTTACGAATAATCATTACACATTCATCGTATTATTATTTTTTGTATGATATGTTAATTAACCATATCTAATATCCTTCGAGTAAAATGCTTATCTTAATAAAGAGATTAAGTTATCTGATAAAGCTTATCGAATATTTAAATTATCAAATAATTATAAAGTTTGAAAATACGAATGTTCTTGCAGAAGGAAATAGAATGCAAATGTAAAAAGCCATGATATGCATTTACCTTTGAATCATTACAGGTGAAACATGTTATTAAAGGATGTTATAAACATATATGCAAGGCTATCTTATTCCTTTGACTGAAAACGATATATATATATATATATATATATATATATATATATATATATAGATATATATATATATATATATATATATAACTGTATTTTTCACGCATAAATATTAATTAAATAAATACGTTTTGAATTGACTTACTTGTTAAATATTTCAAAGGCTATAAAATTAACTTGGAAAATTCTTAGTCACCTTTTATTACACACTTTTATCGTCGCATTTGTATAAATTTGACCTAGATGGTTCCCGTAATTCTGGAGCAATTGCGTTCAATGTCTCTTGCGAATTAAAGTTTCCAGAATTGTCCGATTTATTCTAGAAAATTCTTCATCAAATATTTCAAACGTTTAAAAGCGATCGCATTCCGTTAAAAGAGTCGAATAATAAATTTCAGAAAAAAAAGAAAAACATTACATACGGCACTTTTTGAAGTGAAAACTTCTTTAGAATCGGGGTGATTTGAAAATCGTGAAACAGAAGAACGTGAAACCGATGAAACAAAAGTAATTAATTAATTAATAAAATTCAATGTATAATTTAATTCTATATATTTAATTTTATATATAATTTCTATATAATTTTCTATATATTTAATTCTATATATTAATTAATTAATTAATCAAATTCTATATATAAAAATTCAGTGTAACAATATGTTTGTCCACTAATAATTCCGAAACTACTCAACTTATTTCAATGAAATTTATTTTATATCATGCGATTTTTTCCAACTTAGCACATAGCACAATTTTTATCGTGATTTTTTTTTATTATTATTTTTTATTACTAATTTAAAGATATTTATTTAGAGGTTATCTAGGTTCTGTAAGGTTCTTTCAATAGATGGCGCTGTATTACAATTCAATTGTTTCGATATATTCACGTTTTGAAGCTTGGTTTTCTTTGAAGGTTTCACTTCTACCATGTGTGATCTGCACACATATGTATTTTTTTTTTTCAATAAGCAAAAAGTATAACATTAATTGTTATATTCCGAATGTTCGTTGGCAATTTTTATTTGATCTAAAAATAAACAATCAAATTATTTATCTGATATAAATTTTTCTCTTTGACAAAAGTTTCTTTTCTTACCTAACAATAAGATAAAACCTGATTTCTTAGTATATTTTTTTCCTTACTTCTTTGTTATCCTTATCCACTTTGCAATCTGATTGGTACATAAAAAAAAAGTAAAGGAGAAAAAAAAAATTAATATGAATTACCATGGCAGCATAAAATCAGTGATTTCTAATCCTTCGACGATCAATCGATATCGTACGATTCGTTCGGGAAATTACTTGAACGTGACATTAATCACATATCTGTCATGAACCAATGCACGTATATATCAACGATAATCGAGTTGTTTGGAATGTTTAATCGGACTGAATCGCGATTAAAAAGATTTTCTAAGATTCGACTTAAATTCGAGAAATAATCCTTCCTTCAAAATACATTCAAGCTTTTGCTCGCGATCGACTTTATTGTACATGGAGTAATATTTATTCGAGTACGATCAAATATATTCTATTAAATTTTATTAAAAATAAATCTTTCTGTTTAAATACAAAATTTTTAATATATAAATTGAAAAACTTTCCAAGTTATTTATTGCTATTAGCAATAAATACTAGCAAATACATATTTACATACTTAAATATGCAAATATTTACTTTAGTTCTATAATTTTAATTTTTATTAAATTTAATAAATTTAATTAATTAATAATTTATATAATTATTTATTTATATAGATTTATTATATAATTTTATATAATTATATAATATATTTATAATAAATATAATANTAATTATATAATATATTTATAATAAATATAATAAATATATTAATATAATAAATAATATCAATAAAAAATAATATAATTAAATAATGTATATAAATTATATATTAAAAATTAATTAATTAAAATTAAATAAATTCTAATACTTTCAGTATTAAAAAATACTGCAAATAAATACTTACAAATATTAACAAAATGATTTTCATAAAATGCAACATCTTTAACAAGAAAATATTTTATATTTATTTAGAATATAAATAATTATACGCGACAATAGTAATCGATGTATTTCAATATTTTTCCCTTTAAAGTACTTTATTGATAAATGAACGATAGATTGGCCTCGTAAATTCGATTCGTGTCTAAAGAAGAAATCCGGTCTCTTCTTCTTTCGGGGAAACGAAGAAAAAGAGTAATTTCCTTTCGGAATCTGTTTGTAAATAGATGAAAGCCCAGGTGGTTGTTAGCTAATAATAAAAGAAGAAAAAAAGCTTGGTAATCGGATGTGAAAATATCAAGAAAATATCAAGAAAATATTAAGAATGTGTTGAACAAACCGTATATACTAAACGCATATACAGTTATATATTTACACGATGTTTCATAACTGATTCTATTAACCGAGAATTTAATGATTTTATTAGATTTACCAACAAATTTCATCTCTACTCTTAAGGAGAATTATTTTCAAATAAAATACTGTTTGACAAATGTACATGAAATCTTGAAGAAAAAGAATAAGAACGTTCATTGATTTAATTTGCTGTCAGCAATGATAGTCTTTGCTCAATCCACTTTGAAAGATACTTTAAATGAATACTAAAATATATTCTACGGTTATCAATATTATCTATTTCATTAAAAGGTGGAAAATGTTATTCATATATATCTTAGCAAATCAGTGATACTATTACAAAGATCAAACGGAGTTCAATTCCAATTAACGAGCAACAAACTAATGTGTGAGCAGCAATCCCTCTCAAAATCGATCGATTGAAAACGATTGCAATCGTCCGTGAATTATTGACACGGTTAAATGGTAATTTCCTAAAATTCCCTTTCATCTATTAATGACTTTAAAGAGATCCTCAAAAACGAAACTGGTGAATCACCAATCAACCGTTTCGAATGAACGGACTGATCAATCGCGATGAATTTATCAATTTATCGTCATTTTATTGAGACCTACTAGACAAAATAATGAATAAAAGTGAGAATCGTACTATTTTTATCATTAATTTATTCAAAAATACGATTTGTACCAGAGAAGTTGATTTATTTATTAAATATAAGTAATGTGTAAAAAATATTACATCAACGTGACTTAAAAATGATTGAAAATGAAAATTTTTTTTCAATCAAATAAAAAAACTAAAAAACTAACTCAGCCCACTCTGGGACTGACGGGGATAATCGCAGAATTAGTCAAAATTTTTGTTTAGAAAATAAAAAAAAAATGAAAAATGGCGAACTTCGAGAAAATACCGGTTTTTCTCAAAAAATGCGAAAATTTAATGAATTTTATAATTTTAAAATTTTGTTGTATTTTTTTTCTGAAAAGTACATTTAAAAACAAAAATTAAAAAAAAAAAAACAACGTCCCAATAGTTTGAATTTTGAATAAGTTATAGCCATTTAAAAAAAAAAGAGCCATTTTTTTCAAAAATTAATAATTTTTTTAGGGGTTCGGTAAAAAAACTTGAAAAAATTCTAATAACTGTTTTTCATAAGGTAGAATAGAATTATAAAGACTTTCAGCTAAATCAAAAGGGGTCAAGATCAAAAATGGTCGATTTGACGTGGAATGTCCCATATATTTGTTTCCATGTATGGCTAATCGCATTCGGCATTCTATCTTGATGGACAAAATTTTGAAAATGTTAGTTTTTGTCAGCTACCTACACCCCAAGGTCGGTTCCTTTCCATAAGAACAGAATGATAAAAAACAGAGAAGGTCCGTTGAAATTCGTTATGGTTCAAAGAATAAAGACGAGACACGTTATAAATAATAAGGGTCTCGAAGTATAGCAGGCTATAGAGTTGAAAAAATATTTCTAGAGAATATCTCTATTAGATCTTTCATTACATCTGTACCAGATCCTTTGTTCGGTCCAGCAGTATTTTCCATATGTTTTTCGTAACATCTTTATTTCGTCATTCCTAAAATGTTTGTTAGACAGCGCAAAAATGTAGATGAAAACGAGAAATTGAAAACCATCCTAACAAATAAAATTTTATACCTGAGTTTCACAAAAAGGATATTCTATATTTACAGGTCTCCCTCCAAAAAAAAGCTGGAGATAGGTTCCCAGAAAATGCCATGTTATTTGAAACCGTGTTGTTTGAGACCCAGAGACAATGCAAAAAGGGGGGTTACATTTCGAAAACTTTTTAAAAACAAATATATATATATATATTTTTTTTTAAATAAACAACTTAATTTTTATTAAAAATAAAAATGTATGAACAATACAGAACAAAAAATATTATCTTAATTTAACGCAACTTTTATTTAATTTA